GAGCTCAAGCCGGGCAAACGTTCTGAGCATCTCTTTGGTCTGTTTCCTATCTCATTGGTGAGGTTTCGATTCTTCGTGTCAGCTACTGCGGACGACCCCCCACCCAGCTTGAATTCGCAGCAGCGGGGAGGGGCGGGAGCCAGACCGGTCCTGGAAATGGCATCTCTTTTCTCCCAGGCATTCTGGTCTTCTTTTCTTTAGGGAAACAGCAGAGATGGAAACACAGAGATTCATGTATCTTAGAGTTGAGTTTCCAAACAGTCTTCACTATTTCTTGCCCCAAATTCGTATTTGCTACTTTTTGCTTATGACATTTCTTGACTTACCGCTCATATTGTTAATTCTAGTAAATACTTTTGCATACTGAGTCTTGACTTCTGAATGCGCCTAGACTAAATAAAACTCCTTAATGTGCTATTGCGCTGTATGCTCTTTTAACCTAATCCCCCACCATTTTACTTCTTTTATGTAGGAAAAATGGATTATGTATCAAAATATTTTTCAAGCCCAACAGCCCGAACTTTTCTGTGCTTCTTAAATGCTGTTTACATTCATCCCACTAGTGAATAATTTCTTCCATGGTTATTTGTGCCCTATATGAGCTACACTGGGGCTGGTGGAGGGTGGGGTGGTGGGAGTGTCATCCAGGGCTTTCCAAGACTTCTATCCTAGTGGGTTTTAATTGATTCACAAGGCTGAGATTCTAGTTACTGAGATTCCCTTTTGGAATGTAAGGTGTTTTGTACCTTCCTTTAATCTGTGATTGTGTACAGGAAGGTAAATCAGCTATTTCTTAAGGTACTTACTGTATGCCAAATATATAGTCAGATGTAAATTGAGTAAAATAAAGATAGTAAACCAGACCCCAGGATCATAATATGTACTGTGATGTGGCAGTTGAGAATGTGGACCTGGACGTCAGACTACCCAGGGTGGAATCTTGGCTTTGTCACATACCAATTTATAATTTTGAACAGCACTTACCACTAGCACTTCATTATCTGTAAAATGGGTTGATGGGGGATGAGGATTAAATGAGCTAGTGTGTGAAATACTTAACAATATAGATCCAGGCCAGGGCACAGCCATTATTTGGGCCCCTGCCTCATCCTCATTCTGATATTACCCAGAGTAGACTATTGGGAAAGTCCTATACATGCTTGTGTCAAAAAGAATGCCCAGCACAAGAGTTGAGCCTTTCAATGATCCTTATAAGGCCTCTGGCACTTCTGCCATAAGGACTATATTTTTTCTTAACTGAGACATTTTTTTCCTTTTGCAGCCACAGGTGGAATTAAGAAATCTGGCAAAAAGTAAGCCGTCCCTTGTACCCGAGGCAATGGTGATCTTTAATTCCATTCCTGTTTAAACATCTGGATTTCCTGCCATAGCATCTGTTGCCACCTATAGATAGAATGAAGTGTTGTCTTAGATCCTGTTGTACATTTAAGAATAAACTTTTGTAAAAAAATAATAATAAAATCAGTGGCTCATGTTCTCTTATCATTCAGTCATTTCTGCCTTTGTTGTGAGGTCAGAGTAAACCTAGCCTGAAGTCCTGCCAGTGTGTGCTCTTCACTCTTTGTTCTGTCCTGAACTCAGTTCCACCTGGAATTAAACCAACTCATTTGAAATGGTTGTTTTTTATAGTTGTATACCCGATGGAATACAATACATGAGGCTAATGCAAGAATATGTACTTTGGGGGAAAAAAACGTCTTTCTCTGTTATGACCTCCACATTGCCATTTGTTGTAATGGGATTGTTCATCTTTCATGTGGGCATCCTGCACATACACCGAAGAGTGATTCCTGTTTTCAACAAATTTCTCTGTTGTGGAAGAGGGCAACATTGTTACATACAATATACATTATAAAGGGAATAAAACCGGAAAGGAGAGACTTTCTGAAAGTTTCTAAGAACCAAGATTATCCTGAACCCCCACCCACCCCCCCACCCCCCGCCGCTGGTCTGCATTTACACTAGGGCTTCAGAAAGGTCCTTGCTAAGTTTCCTTGCTAGGGAATGATGAGTATCCCACATTCAACACATCAGCAAAATTCAGTCTGGCCCCTACATACTTCCTCCAGTATCTCCCCCATTCTAACCTAAAATCCCTCACCTGGATTATTGCAGTCATATCCAAATTTGTCTTCCTACCCCTACCCTTGCTCCTCTACAGTTTAACCTTCACTCAGGACAGGATGGTCTTGCTAAACCATAAAGTCATACTTTTGTCTCTTCTTGGCTCAGAATTCTTCAGTGGCTTCTTAGGAAAAAGCTAGAGTCCCTACAATGACCAGTCAGGCCCTAAGGGATCTGGATGCCACTCCCTATCCTTGGATATTCACCATTCATCCCCTGGTCCATCTTGCACAATGGCCTACATCGCAAGCAAGCTGCCTCACCGTTTTCACCAACTCTTGCCTCTGCCTGTCACTCATTTGTATACTGGAGACTACCTCCCTTCCTTTAGAGGACTAAAAGTAGTGCACTCGTCCCTTACCACTCTATATGAAGTAGTAGTCCCAATTGTTTGTTTCATTTTTTTTCTCCTAATATTTGTTGATTATCACCCTTGACTCTAGGAGGAGTAAACTGAAGGAGACAGAGGCCATAATGTATACTAAATGCATATATATATTGCATTCACATATATATATAGAGAGAGAGACAGGGAGGGAGAGAGAAACAATTCAGAGGCACAAGTCTTTGGATTTCCCCTCTAGGCCCTTGATAACACTAAATTATGCGAATAATGCTAAGCTATCTCTGACCATTTGTTTTCAAAAAGGGTTCTGGAACTATTCAGATCTTGCTAAGTCAAAACTGGAAAAGGTTTTTATAGATTGAAGTCTGTTTTACGACTCTAAGGTACTTGACTTAACAGGAGAGGATAAAGGGCCTACTTTGGTCCTCTCCTGGAAAGTTCCACAGCCTGCACACCTTTGGACTTCAGGCATTCCCTGTAGGGCTGAGAACAGCCCTTCTTTGCCAGTGCCAGCACATTGCCCCTGACAGCTACTACTGTTATTTGGTGGAACCTAATCCTTCCTGACAAATGAAGTACAATCCTATCTCTTTACAAGACCAGAAACCCGCAGTAATGAAGATTTAAGCATTCAACATTTGGGCATCTGTCTGAAGGAACCTACTAGTTGTCTCAAAAACTAAACTCAGGTATTCAAGACCTTCCAAATCCTGACAACTATATCCCTTTCATTTACTGTTTTCATAAACATTCATAGGACACTTACAAGCTAATTGGCACTGTGCAAGAAACAAGCTGTTCCTGCTAACTGTCCTGCACACCACCACTGCCTAATAAAATCCTGCCCGAGTCCTGCTCCTTTTTGAAGCCTTACCTTCTCTCTTTGCCACAACTCCTACCTGGCATTTGTGTGGACTCCATGTTGGTGTCCTATTCTTGTCTGAATAGGCTTGTATGCCAGCCTCCTTGCTAACTCGATAACTCCTGCTCAACCCGGAGGACAACCCAGGTGCCACTTCCAAGGGGCCTTTCTTGACCTCCTGAGCCTTATTCATTTATGACATGTCCTTGGGACAAAAACACTCAGCCACTCTCAGAGAAATGAATGTTAACAGTCTGACCGTTCCCACATTCTCCAACACAGGCACATCGTTCTCAGGATCACCCCTCTTCCTTACACCTTTCTTCCCCAAACCTACCTTAAATGCACACATTCAAAACATTTACTGTTCTCTAAGATGTCTGCTCACAAAAGCTGTATTCATACTCTTCACCCAACCCCGCTCTCCCAGACTCTTTCCTCCCCGAGAGAGCCTCTGGGTATGTGAGAGGTGAGTCCAGCGGGAGGAAAACAGCGAAGTCGCAGAGACCGAACCCCTGAATGCTGCGGGTCTCGATTCACAGGTGTACGTGTGAATGTCAGGGCGAACTCCACCGAGGCTGTATACTGGATGCCAGGGAGGGGCGCGGAGGCCCCCGCGCTGTAAGGCTGGTGAGCCTCGGCCCTGCTCTCCAGTAACGTGGATAGCGGTGCACAACGCCCGCCACTCGCCTACGGACAGCCAGCCGCCGGTATTTGAGCACCAGGCAGAACTGGGCTGGGAGGGCGGGGCAACACCTAGAAAGGCCGGCACTCAGCGGAGCACGGCGACGCGTTCAGATTCGGTCATTCTTCCGCGCTCTCCGGATGGCAGCCGATTCGCCCGTGGGCTCGGGGGCGTGGCCCTAGCGGCTGAGGCGAGCGGCGGCGCGCGGGCGGTTGGTCCAGCCCTCTGGTCTCGCGGCGACCAGGCCTTACTCGGTGCCCTGGGAGACTGACCAGCGGAGGCATGGCTGGAACCCCCGCGCCGGGCAGCAGGAGGCGGAGCGGGCTTCCGGCGCCTAGCTCTGGCCCGCCGCCCAGCACCGGGCACCCTCCGAGCAAGCGAGCCCGAGGCTTCCCCGCAGCCGCTGCCCCGGACCCCGAAGACCCGTTCGGCGCGCACGGGGATTTCACCGCTGACGACCTGGAGGAACTCGACACCCTCGCGTCGCAGGCCCTGAGCCAGTGCCCGGCCGCTCCTCGGGACGTGTCCAGTGAGTGCGCCTCGGGGCCTTTTCCCGGAGGGTGGTGCAGATCTCGCCAGAACTACGTGATGGCTGTGGCTTCGGAACCCCACGGCGACCGCTGACCCAGTGTCTTGCACCCACGCTGCCGTTCTCAAAATATAGGAACGGCTTCATTTAGGCACAGGTTGTGTTCCAAAAGGTCCTTTGGGTTGTGGGAGTACTGTATTAAGAATGTCAAAACAGCCAATTTGAAATACAGAAAGTTCAGTTAACCTTTTCCTGTAGTTAAAATTTGGGCCACCAAGTTCTTGGTTCTAGGCAAAGATCCTTGGAACACAACCACCATCATCAGAACCGTCACTACCCATGGGGACCCATTCTTGTGACAGGTTTAAGAGGCTTTAGATCTAACGAAGATTACTGTCCTCCTTGGGCCACATGAACATAAGAAGGGCCTAGCTGAGGCAAGAGATGAAAGAGGTTTATTCCGTTATACAACCAGTAAATTGTACTAGGTGTCCAAAACCTTAGGAACTGCAGCACACTTAGCAATGAACAAAAGACAAAAACTCCTTTCTTCGGGAGCTTACTTTCTAGCTGGGGAGTGAGTGAAGTCTTGTGGGGCTCACAGAAGGAGAACTGTTTTGAGGGCATCTTGCATCTGTACTTGGATATCTCACAGGCATCTTAAATCCCACACATTCATCTGGGAGTCCAGTCATTCTCCAGTATTGCCAGCATGGTGCCTGGCAAAGCAGACATTCAGAAAACGTTCATTAATGACCAAATATTCTGTACAACCGTGACTACTACCGGTCTCCATCAGGTGGCACAAAGCAACAGTTCCTCTTCCTTGACCATACATCTAATCCCTTGCCAAGTCCTGTAACTTTATCTTCTTTATCCATCTCTGGAACCCATCCTCTTTCCATTATCTCTACCATTCTCCCTGATCTATGTTACAATCATTCCTTCCTCTGGATGATCATCTGCTAAATGGTCTCCCCGTTGCCAGTCTTGACTCCCTATGAGTCAGACTTCATACTACAGCCAGAGTGATCTTTTCAGAACTCAAATCTGGCTTTGTCTCACATAGATACAAGTGCACATCCCTGCTGAAAGCCTTTTCATAGCTTCCCACTGTCTCCAGTATAAAGATCAAAGTCCATATCATGGCCTACAAGGCCCAGCATGGTCTGGCCCTTTCCCACTCTCTCTGGGTTCAAGCCACACTGACCTGCCTTCATTTCTTGAATTCTCCCGACTTCCTTACAATACAAAAATTGCACATTGCTGTTTCTCATACACGGAGTATTCTTCCCATCCATTCCCCATCCCCACTCATCTGCTTAATTCCTGCTTGTTTAGCTCTCACCTCAGTCATCACTTCCTTGGGAAGCCTTCCAGTCATTCCAGTTGGATCCATATACTTGGCTTTCCTATACTTGTTCTCTTGTGTAGCTCTTATCACAGTTGTAGTTTTACATTTATTTAATTATTTTTGAATGTCCTCTAAGCTTCATGAGTGTAAGGACTGTATCTATTTTGCTCACCACTGTACCTTTAGAGACTAGACTGTGCCCGGTGCTCAGTAGGTATAGCTATAGGTGCTCAGTAAATATTGTCGAATAACAGATCACCAAGTTCTGACCAGTGAGGTTCCCACAGCACCTTTTCAGCCTTTAGATGATACTCTTAAAATTGAGGGGTGGGGAGTAGGGGGAGGCAGGATCTGTTTGTCATTTCATAAGGATCATTTATGAGTTTGAATCATGTTCTTAGGTTGGAAACTATCTATACTGCTTACTAGATCTTTCTCTAATTTGCTTTCAAGAGTGATTCTTTTCAGCATTGACTGGCAAAAGTGGGAAAGTGTTGGATCCAGAAAAGTATATGGGAACTGTTTTTTTACAGATGTTCATAAGGTCCCCAGATTAGATGGGATGTCAAAAACTCCTGCAGGGAAAAACAGAGAATATGTTCCTGTTAAAGAGAATTTTGAATTAGAGGTACTTCAGGCACAATACAAAGAACTTAAAGAAAAGGTAAGTGACTTGTGGTTTTATAGCTAATGTATGCACTTATGCATGTGTTATAAAGCACCGTAGAATAAACTATATAAAAGCTTTTTTTTAATGTTTATCTATTTTTGAGAGAAAGAGAGTGAGCAGGGGAGGGGCAGAGAGAGAGAGGGGGAGACACAGAATTTGAAGCAGGCTCCAGGCTCTGAGCTGTCAGCACAGAGCGTGACACAGGGCTTGAACCCACAAACCTGTGAGACCATGACCTGAGCCAAAGTCAGATGCTTAACCAACTGAGCCACCCAGGTACCCCTAAAATATATAAAAGTTTTAAAACAAGAGTCCAGGGGCACCTGGGTGGCTCAAGTCAGTTAAGCGACTGACTCTTGTTTTCAGCTCAGGTCATGATCTCATGGTTCATGGGTTTGAGCCCCACATCGGGCTCTGCACATGAAAAGTGAGGAACCTGCTTGGGATGCTCTCTCTCCCTCCCTTTCTGCCCCTCCTCCTCTTGCTCTCCCTCTCTCAAATAAACTTAAAAAATAAAGTAAAACAGGAGTCCAGATTCATCCCCATGAAATGAGGGAAGGCTGGGGAAAGAAAGGCAGAAAATTTAAACTGGAAGAAACCAAATCCTAGTTCCTAACAACTAGTCAACAAAGGAAACTGTACATCAGATCCAAAAAGTGATACAAACTTTCTGTCACAGCACTGAGACAAATTTATAGCATATGTCTTTTATAAGGAACACAACATCATAAAGGCTACTGTATTTGTTAGCAGTTTTACAAAAAAGCAGACATCCTTTATGTGACCATCTGTAGGTCCCTAGGAAAACTAGAAACATAGTATGAAACTTGAGATCTGTGAAGTGTGTGACCCAGATTGTTTAATACTTACTAGAACCTACAGGGGCGCCTGGGTGGCGCAGTCGGTTAAGCGTCCGACTTCAGCCAGGTCACGATCTCACGGTCTGTGAGTTCGAGCCCCGCGTCGGGCTCTGGGCTGATGGCTCAGAGCCTGGAGCCTGTTTCCGATTCTGTGTTTCCCTCTCTCTCTGCCCCTCCCCCATTCATGCTCTGTCTCTCTCTGTCCCAAAAATAAATAAACGTTGAAAAAAAAAAATTAAAAAAAAAAAAAAAATACTTACTAGAACCTACAGAATCTGCATGTGTGAATGACAGTGTCTCCTTAAGCTTTCTGAATGTCACCTGTCCCACAAATGGGCCTAGCAGACCATAGTGGTAACTAGTTGGTATGGATATATTTTGAGAACTCCTCGGTCTGTAGAACATAGTTTACATGTGCTTTCTCTGTCTCCCTAGCTATATGTTGAAACAAGTACATATATAACTTTCCCTTATAAGCTTTTCACAAGATTGATTTTGGATTTACAGATGAAAGCAATGGAAGAAGAAGTTCTCATTAAAAATGGAGAAATAAAAATTTTGCGGGACTCATTGCATCAGACAGAATCCATTCTAGAGGAACAGAGAAGATCACATTTCCTCCTTGAACAAGAGAAAACTCAAGTGCTCAGTGACAAAGAAAAGGAATTTTCAAAAAAGGTGACCCAGAACTGCTTCCCCCCCCCCTTTTTTTTTCCCCTTGTTCTAGACACAAGCTTTGCCTGCTCACTGAGTTCTTTTAGAAGCAATAATGACCAAAGAGCCTGTAAATCTTCCAGGAAGATTTCAACAGTTTTTTTTTTTTTTTTTGTCTTAAATAATTTCTAATATATGCATATACTTTTTTTCCAGGCTCTGCATGAGGTTTGTAAAAGGACTTAGTTGAAACTGCTTTGCTGTGGTAGTTGTGGTAGGTGGTCTTGGCAGGAATAAATCAATAGCTTAGACTTTCCAGAAATAGACTTAAGTAAGAGCTTTTTGGCAGATCAGAAACTCAGTTGACCTAGCTTAGGCCAAAAGGAAATGTATTGACTTCTATACCTAAGTCTGGGAAAAAACAGGTGTGCTGGGGCCTTGAATGACTGGAGCCTTGCCAGGATTCATCTTTACTCCCTAGTCTACAGACAGACTCCATTCTTATGGTAAAGGATGTGTTCTCCAGAAGCTCCTGGGCTCCTATTTCATAGCTCCAGAGCAGACTGAAAACTTGGGCTCCTTCATCTCAAGGCTCTAATTGTTCTAACCTGGGTCAGGTGCCTGTCCCTGACCCAGTCACTGTAACCACAGAGATGACAGCTCCCATTTAAATCACATAGAGGTAGGGAGGGGCACCTGGGTGGCTCAATCGGTTGGTCATCCGACTTCGGCTCGGGTCATGATCTCACAGTTCGTGAGTTCGAGCCCCACTTTGGGCTCTGTGCTGACAGCTCAGAGCCTGGATCCTGCTTCGGATTCTGTGTCTCCCTCTCTCTCTGCCCTTCCCCCATTCACGCTCTGTCTCTCTGTGTCTCTCGAAAATGAATAAACGTTAAAAATTTTTTTTTAAATCACATAGAGGTAGGGACATGATTGTTTCTCAAGGGAGGGAGTTGCTGTTTTGGGAAGACATTAATAGGTGTCCATACATACTGCCACTTTCCTTCAGCACTTCCCAAGGCTTCAGTCTCAAGGAATGGATCTTATTCTGCCATCCATTAGCAAATTAGCAAACTTTAAAGAAGCACTAACCTATGCCCAGCACTAACAGCAGTAGTTTTCCTTCCGCATCCATGATGAAGAGCAAGGGAGTTGTAATCAGACAAACTAGAGTTTGAATCCTGGCTTTATCACATATGATAAATGGCGACCTCAGGGTAGTGACTTCAGCTCTGTGATTCATTTCCATTATCTGTCCCAGGAAATAACTAGAAGGGTTGCTGTAAGACTTAAACAGCCCCACACTTACTGTGACTGGTGCTGTGACTGGTGCCATACAGGCACAGAGTGTGCTCAGGGAATAATAGCAGTTACTGCTGGCCATGGGCTGGAGCAGGTCTCCCCGTGCTGCGTGGCGTTTTGGTAAAATTTCAAGAAGACCTGGAATTGTGCACCATTATGTCCATTAAAAGGTTAACATGTTACTGTGTGATAAGGTGCCTCACCAAGCTCTAGGCTGGGCATTTCACATTCATCCTTCCTATTTAATCCCCCCTAACCACAAAGACAGGGGTTTGTGTTACAGATAAGCCAAAGTTTAAAGAGGCCGAGTAAATGGTATTTGAACCTTCACAAACTACCTTGCAACAGTTCAGGTCAAAATGTCTTTCTAGAATACCATGCTGTCTTTGAGGAGGAAGGGGAAAGCTTGATATTATAGGGCATCTATGTCACAGCAAACTTTTATACTTATTTCTCATTGTTTGTTTTCCTTTATGAGCTTGAGACTTTGAAGCCCAGAGATATTTTTGCACGTATGATGGGTTACCATGAGTGTGTTGTTTTTGCCTTCCAGCTCCAATCATTGCAGTCCGAACTCCAATTTAAAGATGCTGAGATGAATGAATTAAGGACAAAGCTTCAAAGCAGTGAACGAGCAAATAAATTGGCTGCTCCCTCCATTCTCCATGCCAGGTAATGATGATGCTGGAAGGAGAGTTGTTTTGCATGGTTTATTAGAAAGTCTGAGTAACAATGTCAGGTTAGTCTTGAATGAAGGCTGTTTAAACTTTGCCATTTGGACATAGATCCTCTTTCCTGAAGGCTTCAAAGGTGGTTTAGATGAGGCTTGAATGGTTTGGTGCATCACCGCATAAAGGCCTCACACTCTAGAAGGGCTTCCTCTATAGGACTTTATACTCAGGACTAAAAAAGGGCTGGAAAGATGCTTTCTAAACTTTTGGGGTGACCCAGTCTTCATTTTTATGTAATGTGTTTCAAATAATCAGTTTTGCCCCAAGTATGAGCGTATTTCAGTCCCAACTACTTGGAATATTTTTTCTCATTTACTGCCTTGGGACCTTTGTCTAATAGCCCCTGCCTTTGCTGTAGATGTGATCAGCTTGTTAATGGTCCTGTCCTGCGCCTTGCCTGCCAGAGAAGTCTGGCACACCGTTGATATCAGCCTTGAATTTTGAACAGTGTGGGTCAGCGTGTCTTTTTCTGAATATTGAACATTCTGCTGCCTTTGTTCATAATGGACAGGGTATGAAATTAAACTCTTTTTGCCTAGCTTAGTCCAAATAAGACAGGAGAACAGAGGGGTCCATCCCCACCTCATCACACGTCTCTGACAGAAGGCTCTTGGTGTTGTCTGATGCATTCGGGGGGTGGGGGTGGGGGTTAAGACTGCTTCCCTAACACAAAACCCCTGGCACTGAGGAATGGGCTGTTTTCAAGTTGCAAAACACAACAACATGCCTTTTAATAGACCTTCTTTCTACTGAAAATCTTTGAATCCAGCCCCTGGGAACGATTAAATAAGAGGCTGTTCCATATTAAAAAGATTTTGGTGGAATTGGAAGTTGTAATGGAATTATGGCCAATGTTTTGGGGTGATTATTAGAAGAATACAGAAATGAAAGAGTTTTTCCACCATCTGGATCAAAATGCCTTGAGTTTTGCACGCTATCCTGACTGACAAAGAATGACTAATATATAACAGATAAAAACCTTTGGTCAAAGCACCTAGACATTGGCCATGGGCCGGAGCAGGTTTACCATTTAAACATTTAAACATGAAAAGTTTAACATTTGTTAGAAGTTTTATAACCAGGTATTTTAAGTGGTTTTAGCAGAATCATTACTTTGCTTTCATAGTTAACTTTTTCCAGTCCTAGGAAAAGCCCTTCTGTGGCTATAAAGCCAGAAGCATGTTCTCCACAATTCGGAAAACCATCTTTCCCTACAAAGGAGTCTTTTAGTGCTAACATGTCCCTTCCCCACCCCTTCCAGACAGAGCCAGGATATAAGTCCCTGGTGGGCAGAGAGGGTAAGTCAGTCTGTCTGTCATCTGTTGCCGTGTAACCGATTATTCAACCTTGTGGCTTAAAACAACAATAAGTACTCCTCCTGGTTCTGTGGGACAACAGTTCTGATAAAGAGGAGATGGTTTGTCCCTGTGGGGACTGGAATCACTGAAGGCTCGTCTGGGGCTGGAGGATCTATTCAGAGTGGCTCACTCACATGACTGGCAATGGAGTTCTTCTCCACACGTGGGTCTCTCTACGGAGCTACTTGGGTGATGTCATAACCTGGTGGATGGCCTCCTCTAGAGCTAACAAACCAGAGAGAGCGAGGTAGAAGCTATCCCTTTTATGGCCTGGCCTCGGGAGTCCTATAGCATCACTTTTGCCACATTCTGTTTGTTAGAAACCATGTTCAACGGGAAGGAAACTAGGCTGCACCTTTTGAAGAGAAGTGTTTGTAGAATTTACAGGCATATTTTAAAACCTCCCCAGTCACCATCCATTGATGTGCCAGAAACACAGCTAGTATCAGGTACCTGTGTTCCTTGCAGCCTTGAGTTTATACAGCTCAGTCCAGACTGAGGGCATGCTACTGCCTTATAGAGGGACACAGTCTAGCATTGGTAGGTTTTTACTCTGAGAATATGCTGTGTCAGTTTATCTTACCATTCCAATACATCACCTCTCTCCTACCACCATCCACCTGTTCAAGTCGTTGGCCCTCATGCCACCTCTGAGGACCTCAACCACTCACATTTTTGGTACCTGGCAACTACAGGAACAGTATAGGATGGTGTTGTGGGCAGGCACTGGAGCCCACCAGCCTGACAGGAGTCCCGGTCACACTACTTACTGGCTTGTGTGATTGGAGCAAGTCCCTTAACCCGTGCCTCATTTTCTCTATATGTAAAATAGAGGAGATGACACCTCCTCTTCGGGGTGCTTTGAGGAACAGATGAGCTAACATGGGTACAGCTCTTAGAACAGGGTTTGTCTGGCACATAATAAGTGTTCGTGGTTACTGCTTTCATGTTATTGCCTCCTTTTAAAGTGGAGCAAACAACTTTCTTTTCCTTTCCTTGTATGAGTTCCTGTTTTTCATGAGGGAGGCAATGATGCAAGGGTTCTTGAGTTGCTCTGGTTCTTGATTTGATCCAAGGTTGAGGAAGTAGAACAATCTCTGTTTTAAATTCATTATGGGGTGCCTGGCTGGCCCAGTCCATAGAGCACGTGACTCTCGATCTCAGAGTTGTGCGTTCGAGCCCCGTATTGGGGGTAGAGTTTACTTAAAAAAAAAAAAAAAGAGAGAGAGAAAAATGAAACTCGGTACGTTCAAGAGTTTTGATATGCCTGTGCTTTTGTGCTCAAGTTTTGATTCACATTTTATTTAGTTGTAGAGAATAAGAGCCACAATCTGGGAGGTGACCCCATTAAGCAAGAAGAGTCGCAGAAAAGACTTGTTGACAGCTGGATGCAGAGATCAAACACTCAAGGTACCAGAAGCCCTGCTCCATGTGCAGGAGGCCTGCACAGCTCTGGGCATCCTCTGCGGTGCTATGGTAGAATTGCCTCTGAGAAGCAGCACCCCAGGCAGTCCTTCAGAGGGGCCAGGGGAGTAACAGTCTGTGACTTAGCAGAAGACTATAGCAGTTACATCCCAGAGCCCTCAGCACCCACAGGCATCTCAGTGGGGCTTAGTGGCAGCTTAGAGGACAGTTAGCATCCAAGGAATCCTCATTTTTCCTTCTGAAGCCACAGAAAAGGCCTCCCTTGTCAGAACCTTCTAGAATCACCTTGTCTTTTGCAGGTTCCATTTTGATAAACCTTCTCCTGAAGCAGCCTTTGATCCCAGGGTCATCCCTAGGTCTGTGCCACCTCCTGAGCAGTTGTTCTGAGGCTCCTACCAGCACCCTACTGCAGCCACTGGGGTATGGCAGGTAAACCTCAGACTCCTGAAAAGCTGGGAGTTCCCAGGAAGCAAGTTCCTTTCTGGTCCTGGCCAGCCTGGGAGGTCTGTGTGCTGGGTGGGGAAACTAGAGAATTCGGTAGACAGGTTGTTTGGGGCCCTTGACCTTGTCTCCGCCTCACACTTGTATGTTTTCTTTTGTATTTGCTGCTAGTACCTTGACTGGGATTTCAAGCCTGAGGACCACAGGTTCTCGCGATGGGTCATTTCCCCACTTGGCCCTGAGAGAAGCACAGAACCTGGCACTTACTGGATTGAATCTGGTTGCCAGGGATGAAGGCTCATGTGATGGAGACCAAGCAGAGGGAGGCAGAAGGGCCTTCCCACTCTGCCAGCTTCCTGGGGCCGTGCATCTCCTCCCCCTGGTACAGTTCTTTATCGGCTTACACTGCCAGGCTCTGCACGATCTGGCAGCAGTCAAGAGAAGTGGAGCGCCTGCGGACTCACCGACAAGTTCCTCCTACGTGAGCTCTGGGGGAGAGGCCAGCCTTGAGGACTCACTTTGCAACCTGGAAGGCTTCTCTGTGGCTTCACTTAGTGTTCTTCAGCACCTGGTGTGCCACAGCGGAGCGGTCGTCCACCTATTACTATCAGATGCAGGGGTGGATTCTGCCGCTGGGGAAGGAAACCAGAGTCTGGTTCACAGACAAGATCATGGGGATGTGTCCTCAGTCCCAAGGGGGCTTACTGATGACCAAGGCCAGCATCCACTACTGAAGATGCTTCTTCACCTGTTGACTTTCTCTTCTGCAGCAACAGGTCACCTTCAAACCAGTGTCCTGAGCCAGTGTCTTAAGATTTTGGTGAAATTAGCTGAAAATGCTTCCTTTGATTTCCTGCCCAGGTATAACACTGCATGGTAGTCATGATTCTTTGCAGGTCTCACGTGACCTCTTGAGGTCTATCCTGTGGCCCTTATACTTTGCCCACATCTTAGCTATACTGCTCAGGGCTAAGCCTTGGTTTTGTGTTCTGAGGCTTTGTTCAGGGTGTTCTGAAGTGATGGAAAGTGGGGCCAGGTGTTAGGAGAACCAAGGAAGTGGTTTACTTGGCTGAATTCTGCCTCTGTACAGCAGGTAAGCAAAAGACACATGTAATGAAAGGCTTTTAAGACATTATGGAAAAGTGTGTCCTGCCCCCAGGACAAAGACTGAACCCAGAGCCTTGAACCTAGGCCATGGATCAGGCAGGTGAAGACCATGTATCACACCACATTTAAGTTTGGTGGGGTTCCCTAAGGAAGCAGAGGGTGTGGGCAGCCCATAAGCTGACCTTACTGGGAATCTGCTCATCCTCATTGTGCCCGACTCTGGCACAAGCCATAAGTTACCTGTTCCTTCTAAGTTTTGTTGGAAGTGGTTGTATAGTGAACCTAGCTCATGAACACTATTGTCATAAATTCTTAACTTGGGATTCCAGAGCCTCAAGACTGGGAGGAACTGTAAACACCATCCAGCCCATCTCCTCATCCAAAAATCCTGTCTCCCCCCTCAGCACGCCACCAAGAGGCCAGTTCTATTTGGATCAACTTTGCTGGCTGCACTTACCTTAAGCTTTTGTCTCTGAGCTTAGCATACTTGTTTCCCTAAAACACTTCTGGATCCTGGTTTCCTTCTGAAGATATTCCAGCTGGTATGGTCCATCCTAGGGGTGGTCCTCAGAGCCGGGCACAGTACTGCAGTGTACTGTGGGCGACACAATAGGTACAGAACTGTCACGTGTCTGGCATGGACCTACCTCATGGTGGCTGGTTGCTTGTTTCATATTTGTTGAATGAATTCCAGGAAGCACTTTATTACCAGTTCTCTTGGTAGATACACCATCATTCCCTTTTTGTTGGACTTGTCCACAAGGACATGAAAAAACAGCTATTTGATGGATGCTTTCCATAGGCCAGACAGATGCCTCTGTTCACCAGCTCATGTGACACCCTCAGAGCCCTGCATCCTCACATCTAGCATGGAGCCTGGCTCACTGTAAGCACTCAGTATTTGCTGTACGAATAGAGAGAACATACAGGGCGAGTTTCCAGCTGGTCTCCTTGACTTGCCCTTGATCACGGTCTGGCACCACCTCCCACTCAGTGCTTCAGAATTCCTACATCTTGCAGGAGGATCCCCACTACCACACAGCTTCCTGCTCACCTTGGAGTGAAAGCTAAGGACACATGCCACCAAAGCTCTAAAGCAGTATGTGATGCAGCACAAGCAGCCAGGCAGGCAGCAGTCTCGGAAAGGGCACCTTTGCCTACCCGGGCTTGAGGACAAATCATCCCCTCAGACCCATGTCTTCCTACCGTATCTGGTGTAGCCATGGTCCTGGGTCATTTCCAGGGCACTGGGATGGCAGGGGCTTTTGAGCAGAGGTCTCATCCCCAGCTTCAAACAGAACAGTAGGACTATTCTCTATTGTGTGTTTGGGGGTTCTGGAAAAAAATTTTTTTTTCTGCTATCCAAAAATAATTTAGAAACCACTGCATCATATATAAAGATGGATTTTTCTTGCAGATAGTTTCAGGGACTTTAGTGGATTACAGACCATTCTAATGACGAAATTGAGTAACCACCAGGTTAAATCCCAGTTTCCCGCAAATTTCCACACTCTGGTGGCTGAAAACATTCAGCTTACCCACTGTACAGGATTTGCTCTAAAATGATTTCACCCCAAATAACGAGGCCTTGCTTCCTAATGGCATACTGAGAAATACTCTTAACCCTTGACGGCATGTACTAAGACACTGCAGATGCATGAAGGGGAACACATGTAGAATTGCCCTCTCCCCATCCACAAGGCTATGTGGGTTGAGCAAATAGCAGTGGTTGTCTTGGGACTTGGTTCCTTAGTTCTCTTTGCCCGTGAGACCTTGGAGAGAGTATGCCCAGAGCCCAACACCCGTGCACACCCCAAGTGAGCACCTTCTCATAATTGGTAACAGGGGAGCTGGTATTTGCAAAAACAGTCTGCCAGCAAGCAAGGGGTCTCATAAGATCCAACCATAGCCAAGTACACATTTGTCACTTCTGGAACCTGGCCAGCCCTCTGGTAGTAGGCTTATAACATTCACACTCGTTAAGACCTCCCTCCCTATTTGGGAACAGAGGCAAGAAAGAGCCCAGGAGAGTGTGGAAGCCAGGCACCCCGGGTCCAGGGAAGCATCCCCCATTTACAGGTGGCACTGGGCCTGGCAAGGGCCTGTCCTCTCTAAGCCACGGCAATATCACGGTGAAGGCTAGTACCCACTGGTTCACAGGAAACAGATATCCCAGCAAGTATGTGGTGGTTGGCCAGCATTTGAAGCCGGGTCCGAACCACAGCTCCTCCTTGTACCTGCCTGCTCAAAATTTCCCGTTGCCTCTGGTGAAAAGTGAGGATGGTTGTGGGATTGGGGTGCCAGTGTCCCGTTTCTCTGGGCCCCTGTGCTTTAGGTTCCAGTGTGTGTTCCGGGTACTGCCACAGTGCCTCAGCCCCGAGAGCCCCCTTCCCAGCGTGCTACTGACTGTTGAGCTCCTTTCCCTCCTGGTGGACCACGAGAAGCTGGCGCCTCAGCTCTGCTCCCCCTCAGGTAAAGCAGGGCAGGGGGGATGGGTGGTTGGGCGGCTCCTGCAGGTTGGAGGGAAGGGTGGTGGCAGGGATAGTTCAGAGGCCTCCTGAGGGCTTCTGCAGCTTGTGCCCTGGGCTCTGGGTAAGAAGGGGACCCTGAATGAGAGGTGGGGCATCCTTTTCAGAAGGCTGCCTCCTCCTGCTGCTGTACATGTACATCACGTCAAGGCCTGATAAAGTGGCCTCGGAGACACAGTGGCTTCAACTAGAGCAAGAGGTAAAAACTCCAGAGCCTCACCACCCCACCCCACCCAAGGGCCACTGTTCCTCCTTCTTCTGGGGAGAATGGAGTCTTAATGCATTTTGGTAGCAAGAGTTTACCTAGCTGCTAAGAAGGTGAACTCAGTTTGGGGGCTCCATACTACACAGGTACAATACAGGTGGACCCCAGGGTGTCCCAGCACTTGGCAGGGCTGCCTAATAACTGGCCCTACCCTGGCTTGGGGCCTGGAGGCAGGTGGGTTGCTGGTGAGACAAGTATTGATCCTGAGTCTAGCCTGAGAAGGCCCCACACCGTTCCTTAGATGTCACTGTGTGGACAGGTGGCTGCTAAGGGAACCTGGAGCACTTGTAGGAAAAGCCTGAGAAAGCCCTCACTGATCAGGCTCTCGTTCTGCCACGGATGGAAGTCTGCTCTTGTTCTAGGCTGTGTGGCTCCTGGCTAAGCTTGGTGTGCAGAGCCCTGCCTCCCCAGTCACTGGCTCTGTCTGCCAGTGCAACGTGGAGGTGAGTGCACGGGCCAACGGCGTGGCAGCTCCGTCAGGGCAGGGGAAGGTGACCCTATGCAAGCACGCCCCTGCTCCTTGTAACCCTGGTGCCACCGCTCGGAGCCCTCCTTACCTGGGGTGGTTAGGAAAGGTGCTGTCCAGCTGAGCAAGCTGTTAGGGTGCAGGAACCCTGAGACCTGGCCTCAGTCTTTGCCCTCTCCCTAGGTGGTCAGAGCACTCACAGTGATGCTGCACAGACAGTGGCTGACAGTGCGGAGGGCGGGGGAGCCCCCGAGGACTGAGCAGCAGAAGCGGACTGTGCGGTGTCTGCGGGACACGGTGTTGCTGCTGCACAGCCTCTCCCAGAAGGACAAGCTCTTCACTGTGCACTGTGTGGAGGTCCTACATCAGTATGACCAGGTGATGCCAGGGGTCAGCATGCTGATTCGAGGGCTTCCTGATGTGACAGACTGTGAAGGTAAGCCGGCAGGAGGACCCCTGCCTGCCCCAGCCCACATGCGGGGGTTTCCCTGAAGTTCACGGACAAGTCAGACTTCCTGGCCTTAAGTCAGCAATCCTCTCTCCACGCAGCCTTTGCTGGCACTGGGGTCGCACTTGTCTTACTGCTCTGGGTCTTCTCTGAGCTTATCAGGCTGCCTTTTGCTTGTATTTGTTGAGTTGGCCTAGCAGAGCCACAGTTTTTCCAGAAACATCGCTGTCTGAATTGCCTTTGTATCACTTTGCTTGCAGTAGCTGAGGGAGCAAGGCCTGGGCGTGGAAGGGACTGGTTAGTTCCTGCGGGCGTGGGGGAGGAGCGGTGGGTCTCCCCCCAGTGCCCAGCACCTCCAGGCCTTCACCACACATCCCTCTTCTCTTGGCTCAGAGGCAGCCCTGGATGACCTGTGTGCCACTGAAACGGATGCGGACGACCCTGAGATGGACTGTAGCTGAGGCCAGTGAGCATGGAGCCACATAGTGGCACCAGAACCACTACTTTCCTCACCGCAGCAACTGATTAAAAGCAGTGACAGGCTGTTTGAGAACACACCAGCCTTTTGATGTTTCCTGAGTCTGATCTGTGTCGGCTGAATGGGAGGGATGGTGCAGGAGCCAGACCCAGGGAAGGCTAGGATCCTTCTTCCCGTCCCTGGCTAGAGCTGAGAGCCTGTCCCCATAGTAACAAATCTGCCCTGAGGAAGGAGCCCTGCCCTGCCTGTGGAATTGTCCTGAGTCATCGCTTTGGGCTGAGGACATGGGAAGAAACCATCCTGTGGCAGGGGAGGAGAGAGCCGTCAGCCCTGGCCTATACCAGGGAGACCTGAGAAAGTGGGGCCAAGGAGTGGGTGCAAAGTAGCCACAGCAGGGGTTCCCGGCAGGCGTGAGTCCTGGAGCTAGCCTTCCCTGATGGCCTGGGCACACTGCCCTCATCCTCTGGGCTGGTTCTCAAGGTATGAGGGCTCTGGCACATTGTGCCAGCCAGCAGGCCCACAGCTGTAGGTCTGAGGCCTTCAGGGAGTCACGAGGGGGGAGGCTGGGGAGGGGCAGACCTGGCAGGCTGACAAGCAGGGCGGGCCTCGATCAGGACAGCCCATAGGCGGGCTCACGCTAAGTTTCGCTTCCCGCCACTGCTGCCAGCAGCAAGAACCAGCCAGACTGCACCCCGAGTCATTGCTGCCTGCCTGCTACTCGGTAAGTGAGGACCCCTAACGGGGATGGGGCAGGGTGGGAAGACCCCACCCCCCCACCCAGGCCCAGACTAGGTGGGCACTAGGGGAGGAGCCAAGCCTTCCCCCAGACAGTTGAATGTGCTGGTCCCCCTTAGGAAGCCACCCCACCTTCTCTGGCTTCCTGCTCTGGAAACGGGTCTTAGAGCTCACCGACAGTGCTTGCCTGAGCAGAGAAGGCCAAAGATGTGTTCCTGCCCGCCCCACCCCCACCCGCCTCAGCTCTTTCCACTGGGCACTCATATAGCCCCACCCCACCCCATGCTCCTCCCCAGGCTCGGCAGCAGGTACCCACCATGGGCTCGCAGGCCCCACCGCCGGGTCCCGTGCAGACCCTTATCTTCTTGGACCTGGAGGCCACTGGCCTGCCTTCCTCCCGGCCCAAGGTCACGGAGCTGTGCCTGCTAGCCGTCCACAGATGTGCCCTGGAGAGCCCACCCACCCCTCAGGGGCAGCCTCCCACAGTGCCCTCGCCGCCCCGGGTGGTGGACAAGCTCTCTCTGTGCGTGGCTCCAGGGAAGGCCTGCAGCCCAGAAGCCAGTAAGATCACGGGCCTCAGCACAGCTGTGCTGGCAGCACATGGGCGTCAACGCTTCGATGCCGACCTGGCCAACCTGCTCCAAGCCTTCCTGCAGCGCCAGCCACAGCCCTGGTGCCTCGTGGCGCACAACGGCGACCGCTATGACTTCCCCTTGCTCCAAGCAGAGCTGGCTTTACTAGGTCTTGCCAGTGTTCTGGACGGTGCCTTCTGTGTGGATAGCATTGCTGCCTTGAAGGCCCTGGAGCAGGCCGGCAGCCACTCGGAGCACGGCCCAAGGAAGAGCTACAGCCTGACCAGCATCTACACACGCCTGTATGGGCAGGCCCCGCCGGACTCCCACATGGCTGAGGGGGACGTCCTAGCCCTGCTCAGCATCTGTCAGTGGAGGCCACAGGCCCTGCTGCGCTGGGTGGATGCTCACGCCAGACCCTTCAGCACTGTCAAGCCCATGTATGGGGTCGTAGCCTCTGCTGGAACCAAACCAGGACCATCTGCCACCGCAGCCACTGTATCCCTGACTAGAGCCAGGGACACTAGTCCTAAGCTTGGCAGGGGCAGGAAGCCCAAAGCCCTTCTTCCAATGGAGGGCCCTGGAGCCTCACCCAGGGAGGGCTTGCTGGCCCCACTGGGCATGCTGGCCTTCCTGACCTTGGCAATAGCCACACTGTATGGGCTGTCCCTGGCCACACCTGGGCAGTAGGCCAAGAAGGAAAGTCTGACTAATAAAGACGCCCCCGCAGCACTGAGTGACCACTCACGTCTACCCTCCTTGGCAGCCTTAGAGCCTCCTGCACCTCTGCCCACACACTCAGGCACCTGGGGAGGGGGACACGGAGGGTGCCACAGTCTTTGCCTTCACCCTCTCTAGCAGGATGGCCAGACGTCTGAGCCCAGGGAAGGCAGAGAAAGCATGGAAATCCAAGAGGTGGATGAAAATGGTACATGGCCTAATGCCCTGTCCCAGTAGCCAAGGCTCTGAAGAAAGTAGGCAGCAGCCCCAAATGTTTGCATTTATTATAAACAAAGGTGCAGACCCTAGGCTCTCAAACACATCAACAGGCACAAAGCTAAGACAGATCTGGTGAGATATTAACAGAGGAATGGGGAACACCGAGGTATTCGTGTCTGGGCCAGAGCAGCCACCGAGGCCCCCCCGCACCTTTGGTCCAGACAGCCCCTTGGCCCAGGTGTCCCAGGTGCCAAGACACACTGTGGACTCGGGTTTGGGAGCTGGATGTTCTGTTGAAGCTGGTGACGGGAGAAGCAGGGACTATCAGAGGTCAGACTGTGGGCCAGTTTTCCTCCAGGACTCAGGGGTCTCAGCCTCACAACAACTATCATACACACTTTGAAACAGAAAACAGGCAAAATGTTTGGCTAAAAAGGAAATAACACTGCAGGGAGGACACCTGAGTGTGCCGGTGGACAGAGGCTACCCTGCCTACCTGTGATGGGGGTCATGGCCAGCCAGGGCAGCCAGAACTGTGGGTGGATGTAGCCCTCTGGGCAGTGCCAGGAAGAATGCAGGGACCATCCAGTCAGACAGTGGTCGGGGACGGGTGGGGCTCTGCCTGAAGTGTTTTGATCTCAGGAGGCTGCCCACCCTCCACTGGGCACAGCACAGGATCTGGGGACTATGGGACATCTGCTGAAAGGATTAAAACCCAACTTAGCCAGGTCCCAAACCTCACCCACAGGCCTGCATCATAGCTCTGGTTCTCTGAAGAGTCCCCCACGCCCTGGGGAACAGGCCATGGCCTCAAGCAGTGGCTAGCCGCTCCACCGAAACTGGAACATATATGCACGCTGCCCACGGAAAGCTGTGCTATCCTAGCATGACACAAGCCCCACCTGG